CTGTAACCAAGTGCCGCAGCAGAAAAGCCGTCAGCTTAGATGAAAGGGCACAGAAAAAAGCAAGAACGCTGTCTACTTTTTGGAATTGTACAAACAGGAAACAGACCCAAAGGAGCTCCATCCACTGTCCACTAAGAAAAGGACCATCCCTGGAGCAGCTCAGAGATCAGCGGATTATTTGGAAGAAGCTCAGGAAGCAGGGCCTTTTGGTTTCAAAAGGTGGGGCCACAGCCTCCTAAGAGAGTCCAGTCTTTGCCAAGTAGATTCTGGAGTGTTGGGCGCCCATTGAAGTGTGCCTTGGGATGGTACCACCCCCAAAGACTGAGGGTCCGGGGCAGTCATCATCATGGAGCAGAGTGGGGTCTCCTGGGAATGAGGAAGGGAGGTCACCACTCAGATGGACTAGGAGGATGGGGCCACCTAACTTTGAGGGAGCACTGTTGCTGTCCCAGTAGGCCTGGAAAGCAGAGCTGAATCCCACCGGCGAAGAGCCTCCAGCCAGAGTCCAGAGGATGTAGCCGATACCCAGAAGCAGAGGCCAGGACCCCAGCCCAAAGGGTCTCAGAAAGCAGTTTCTCCCATTTGTAATGGAAATGCGGACCTTGTGCTTGTTCTGTGGTCGTGCTTTGGAAATGGATAGCTTGTATTTTAGATTTCTCAGGTTCACAGATGAGTTTTGCCCCATGTTTAATTTCAGTGATTCAGAAGATGAGATTTAGGGCTTTGTGAAAATGTGATAGGACAAGAGTGCTTGCAGGTGGCAAGGACATGTCATTTGTGGATTGAAGAAAGTCCCAGAGACATGTGCCTGAGGTGCTTCTTGTCTCTGACCTGCTCTTCTGACCCAGGTGACTAAGAATATGGCCCAGGTCACCAAGGCCCTGGACAAGGCCCTGAGTGCCATGGATCTGCAGAAGGTTTCTGCAGTGATGGACAAGTTCGAGCAGCAAGTTCAGAACCTGGATGTGCACACATCGGTACGTGCTGTTGGCCTCTGCTGGTCTGGGTGTGCGGGAGGGGTAGGCTGCCCAGCACATGTGCTCCCACTGCATTCACAGAGCCCTCAGAGGCCCCGGCAGTGGGCACATGCTGCAGTGTGGACGTCATTGCCTAGGGGGTTGGGAGCGCAGGACAGAGCGTGTGGAGGAGGTGCCTGGCGGGCGGGGAACCTAGTCAGCGTGCTCCCTTCCCACTTCCCACAGGTGATGGAAGATTCCATGAGCTCAGCCACCACGCTGACCACGCCTCAGGAGCAGGTGGACAGCCTCATCATGCAGATCGCCGAAGAGAATGGCCTGGAAGTCCTGGACCAGCTGAGCCAGCTGCCCGAGGGTGCCTCCGCCGTGGGCGAGAGCTCTGTGCGCAGTCAGGAGGATCAGCTGTCGCGCAGGTGTGTGGCTGGGCCCTGGCTGCTCCTGGGGACCTTGGGGGCAGCCTTTTCCTGAGGAGAGCTATCCCTCGTGTCTCCAGACCTAGATGTCATCTGGGCAGCCAAGGAAAGCCGTGTGTTAACAGGAAACCTACCAGTGCCCACATGGCTTCCAGCAGCTCACAGACAGCTGTGCCCAGTGGCCTTGCTCTTGTCTCTTCCAGGTTGGCTGCCTTGAGGAATTAGCCAAGCCTGCCCACAGACAGCCTCCTGCTCTGGACAGCCCTGGGAAGGCCAAGCAAGGAGGTGTCTCAGTTGTACATCTTTCTTTCGACTGACCGCCGCCACCTCTCAACTCTCCCCACCTGCCCATTGGTTCGGAACTGTCCCCACCTCAAGTCTGGTGGTGGGCTCGTGCTGGTGTGAGTTTGCACAAACTTCTCTAGGTGATTACTGTGACTTGGACAGACTTCAGCCCCCTCAAGGTGGTTCCATCAGCCCCCAGCACTGGGTCAGCACCAGGCCAAGGTGGCTCTGTCTACCAGCATGCCTTGCCTGTGTGGCAGCCCAGCTCCCTCCTTGTGTTGGCAAGAGACACCAAGGACACCTGGCTGAATTCAGAGACATCCCCAGCAGGTGTGAGCCTTCCTAAGTGTCCCCAAACACCCCTCCTGGAGGCCTTTCTAGATGGGGGTCTTCTCCCTTACCTCTTCCAGGGGAGAAGTTCTCGGGGTCAGACAAGGTCCCAGGCCACTCGGTGTTGGAGCAGAGCAGCTTGACAGCAATCTAGTCATGCACACCTGCCTCGGCCACTGTCCACTGCGCCTCCTTGGACTGCCTTCAGTGAGGGGCTTAGAGCTGCTGCCTGTCCTCCGGGCAGCCCATCCCCTCTCCATCACATGCGTGCACATGTGTATGTGTGTGTATGTGTGTGTGTGTGTAAGAAGGAGAGAGAAGTGGTCCTTCCTCTAGGCACTAGTGCAGCCCCCGTGCCTGAGTGTCATGGCCTGCCATCCCGAGGGGTTTCCCTCTCCTGTCACTGTAAATAACAGGATGCCCTCTCCTGGTTCCTCCTGTCTTCTTCACTCACGTCTGTCCTTCAGAAGCCAGATGTGGCTCACAAACAGCCTTAAGGGACACAACCCTTGGCCACAGGGACAACTATCTGCTGTAAGCAACCAAGAAGCCAGTAGAGGCTCACCCTGGGCCCAGGATTCAAAGTTTGCTTCATTTACTAGGGTTTTTTGTTTGCAATTTTCCCAAACTAGAAGATCAGGTATCGCATGGGAAAACCTGGGTCCTGGCTGTACCCATATGAATATCTTGAGGCCTCACCATTCCGCTTGGGCAGGTGTGACCCACTCAGCTCCTTCCAGACGCCTCCTGGCCGTCAGTCCTGTGGCGTGCTGGACACCTTCCCCTTCCATAGATGGGGGGGTGCCTGTTGGCTCTGGCAGGTGTTGAGAGCCATGGGCCCTGTGTGGGTGGATCATCTCTGTGAGACCGTGTCCAGCTTCACCTCTGTGGTGTGGGCACCCTTTTTAGTTCATCACAGAGGAGTGGACTTATTGCCCCTTTCAGTTTTCTATAACCAACGTTGTCCTTCCCTAAAATGCCTCTGTAAGTAGATCAGTCCCAGAGTACCTACTGCCACACTGCTTTGGGGTCTGGGGTGCGAGGGAGCCCTAGGTGGGTGCTGGTGAGGCCCAGGAGGTGTGCCCGGGTAGCCATGAGCTTGGGGAGAGGGGTGCAGAACCTTGGCCCCCACCCAGGCCATCGATCGCAGAGTCTGCCGTTTTAAACTTGTTTTTACCTTCACTTGAAATGACTTTAAGCTTACATAAAAGTTACAAAGTTCAGAGCTTCACTGTGTTCTCCCAGTGTCTCTTGGTTAACTTTCTACGACTAGCCAGACCCGAGATGGCACTGGTCAGTGCATTGTCCATTCAGACCTCATGCCATTCCTTCAGGCTCTGGGTCTCCCTAATCAGGACGCTGCCTGAATCTTTTCCTATCTCATGACCTTGATGTTTTGGAGCCCCTTTCCCTTGTATTTGTGTGAGGTTTCTACACAAACAGATTGCGGTCATGTGTCCTTACAAGGACATCCACATGCTTTATAGCACTGGGGCTGGGGAGGTGCAGGTGGCACGAGGCAGGCTGTGGATGCTTGGGGGCCAGAACCCCCCAGGAGCTGGCTCCCTGCATAGGCCCATTCTGCCTCCTCCCCACATCTAATGAAGTCAGGCCAGAGTGGTGGTCCTCTCATCACAGCGACTCCTGTGGCCGAGGCTCCGTGATGGGCTAACAGTTCCCCCCGGGAGGCAGCATGTTGTTGGTGGGTGTTTTGGAAGTCTGTACTTGGCCCGGCGAGGATAACATGCAGGTGGAGCACTGCCCTCCCTTTTTGTTCCTCCCTGAGTGGTTCATCTGGAAACACTTGTGGGACGATGACAAAGGACCTGCCTAGACCAGGTCCCCAGTGTGGGAAGATCCCTGCATGTGTGGAGCCCACTCAGGTGTTTTGGGCCCTGTCCGGGAGGCCCGATTACTTAGGGAACGGCGGTTCTGAAAATCAGCTGCCCAGACCCTGGACCCCAGGTCTACTAAGACAAGGCAGGCAGGTTTGTGTACATGTATGTGGGGATGTGTACCTGTATGCATGTGTTTGCATTTTATGTTAATGTGTGTGCACATGTATTCAGTGTGTATGAGTATCTGCATTGCCAATAGACACATGTGCACGCACGTGTATGTAGTGTGTATGTGGGCTGTATACGAGTACTGCATAACACATGGATGTGCGTACACGTGTATTTAGTGTGCAAACTTGTGTATTGGAGTAGATGCATTGCACATGGACTTGTGCATGCATGTTCATTTAGTGTGTATGTGAGTATGCATTATATATGGGGATATTTCCATGCACGTGTATCTGGTGTATATTTGCATGTATACTGTGAGAATATGCGTTAAACATAGGTGTGCCCATGCACATGTATTTAGTGTATGTGTGCATGTGTGTGTGAGTATATGCATTGCATGTGTGCGTGCATGTGTCTTGGGGGGGTGTGAATGTGTGAATGCATGCATTGTATATGATTATGTATGCGTACACATGTTACTTGTGTGTGCATATGGGAAGGGACAGCTGGAGCAAGGTATTGTCTGAGACCCTCAAGCAGTGTCCGTGAGAAGCCTCTTGCAGGCTACCTGAACCCTTTTGGTACCACAAGGTCAGTGGTTCAAACCCACCAGCCACTGCGGGACCAAGCTATGGCAGTCTTCTGTGAAGGTCACAGCCTCAAGCTAGGGAGTTGGAATCAGCTTGATGGCAGTAAGTTTGGGGAGCCTTTCTGACCCTCACCTTCTAGGACCAGAGAGGACTCCGGGAGCTATCTATAGCCAGAGACCCTTCAGAAGGTTCAGGAAGTCCCCCTTCCTACCCCAGGTGGACACTGATAGCATACCCTCAAGACTTGAAGGGGCAACGCCTTTATTGAGGGTCCCATGTCCAGCATCCTGGAGTCTCATTGACGGGAAGCTTAGTCCTGAGAGCTCAGGCCCCCACACCAATCACATCATATCCTCAGCTCCAAGACCCTAAGGGTGGTCTCCGGCCCCCAGGGTTTCATAGAAGGTACCCACTGAGCAGGAGGGGGGCCAGGGCAGCCAGCAGGGTCACTGGCTGGTGGTAGAGGCCAGGGGCTGCTGAGTAGCCATATTTGGTCCTGCAGGAACCTTCTAGCTTGTCCAGCTCAATGGGCTCCTCCTCAGGCTTTTGCGCGTGATGGCTCACCTGAGGGCAAACGGATGTTATTTACCTGCCTCTAAGGAGCTCTGATAGCGTAGTTGTTATGAATCAGGCTGCTAACCTCAGGGTCGGCAGTTCAAAACTACCAGCGGTTCCACGGAAGAAAGATGAGGCTTTCTGCTCCCGTGAAGATTTACAGCCTCGGAAACCCTGTATAGGGTCGCTATGAGTCGGAACCGACTCCATGGTACATAACAACAACAACAACAATAGGTAGGAAAGGCAGATGCTTATAGGCCACCTGCTCTCACCTGCTCCACTGCCTCGAAGACCCGCAGCAGATTGTCGGCCAAAGCGCCCCTGACCTCTGCCTCTGTCCACTTTCTCCTCAGTAGCTCAGCAACTAGGTCTGGATACTTGGACACGTCCTCCAGGCCCACAGGCAGCCTGTGACAGGACAGATGGCCGGTGAGCAGCAGCTCAGGTGTTCTGGGTCCCCTCCAGCCCCTCCAGATTCAGGTGCATTGGGTGGGGGGTGAACCTCTGTTGTAGACTCAGGCCTCAGCCCCTCACCTAGAAACTCCATCAAAGTCCCCGCCGAAGCCCACTGCTCCAGCACCTGCCACCTTCTTGATATGGTCCAAGTGGTCTGCCAGGGGAAGCGGGCAGGTGTGGGTCTGGGTCCCCACCCAGCTCTTTGTTCCCACTCAGCCAAAGGCCACATGCCACCACCCACCTGCTACTTGAGAGAGGGTGGCCTCCTCCTGGCAGGACACATAATCATTGTAGAAGTTCACCATCACCAGGCTGCCTGTCTGCTTCTGGTGGATGGGGGAGGAACCACTAGCTTCAGGACTGCCCCTGTCTCCCCTACCTCATCCTTCTCTTCATCCCTGACCAGACACCACCCCCACCTCCTGTCCTCCCCTTTCCCATAGCCACCCCATACCCAGTCCCTGGACAGCGGCTCACCACTAGCTGCAGCACGTCGTCCTGCACGTTGCGTCGGTGTTGACATATTTCATAGGCCGAGGAGTGGCTGAAGATGATGGGGGCCGAGGACTGGCTCAAGACATCCACCATGGTGGCCCTAGATACATGGGCCAGGTCGACAATGATCCCCAGGCGGTTCATCTCCTTCAGCACCCGCTGCGGGAGGCAGCTCAGGTTCAGAACGCCCGGTGTAGGGAGTGGGTCCCACCGTTCATTTTCCATCTTGTTTAGTGACCAGGGTGTTCTGGCTGAATACGTCCCCCTTTCCCCAGGGTGGTTACTTAAATCCCATCTTACAAATGAAAAAAATGGAGGTTCTGAGTAACCTGTCACCTAACAATGGCCAACTTCCTGCCCACTGCCTCTTCCAAGGGTGGATGTGGCACTTGTCTCCATCTCCCACCGGTGCTCCCCCACTCACCTTCCCAAATGGCGACAGGCCTTGGTTTTGGGCCTCATCCTCTCCTGTGTCTACCAGCCAGTTGTCTGCCCTGTGGACAAAACAAGGTCTAGGAATGGTATGGCCACTGCCTCCCCTAACCACTTGCTGGGTTAGAGCTGGTAGGTGGAGGCTGCTCAGGGGTGGCCCACTCACCAGGGTGTGTTGCAGCTGTGTGTGAGGGTCATATAGCGCATACCCAAGTGATAAAGCATACGCAGGACGCCAAGACTGCTGTCGATGGAGTGACCCCCCTCCACACCGATGAGACTGGCCACCTTGCCATCTCGGAAGGCCTGCCTGATGCCTGCAGAATATGGGAGTGGGGGCAGGGTAAGGGGCCCAGAACCTTACCCAGACAGGCTGGAGGACCTGAACCTCAGGTAGGGATCCAGGCCTAGGTCCTACCTGAGCTGTTGGTAACACACACGAAGGTGTCTGGGTACATCTGGCACAAACGGTGAACAACGTCCATCTGCTCCAGCGTCCTCTTCACAGCATCTTTGTTTTGGGTGTCACAGGGAGTGTATGCAGACCAGAACTAGGGGTGGGGTGGGTGGAGTTCCAGGTGCAATCCCAGCCCCCACACATACACACACACTGTCTCAGTTCCCTCCCCTCTGGGGTACCTTACCCACCAGCCCCTGGGGGTATCAGAGTCTTCCCACAAGGATCTGTGATAGGCATGGTTTAGGAAGCACACTGCCACCAATGAGGGGTGGGGGCTGCACCTTAGCCAGGTGGACCCCAGGGGGAGGCAGGCCATACCTGGCCACCCACGAAGCCGGCCCGCAGTTTGGGGATGTTGGTGTGGGTACCAGTCAGAGTATTCAGGTCAGCTTTTGTATCCTGCAGCTGGTTGTTGAACTTTTTCAGCAGCTGCCAGGGCAGGTCGTTGTGTCTGAGAGGCCAAGAAGAAGGGAGAGGGCTTGGAGTCCCTTTAAGGTTGGCATTTAGGACTACAGAATCTTAGGAGCCCTGCTTCTGTGCTCCCCTCCAGCATGCTAACCCCCTTCCTGCTCCCCATTGGCCCCCTCACTGGGTGAGGCCTGGCTTTGTAGAGAAAACTGCACTTTTTAGACCCAGGGCCATAGGTCCTGTTATCTGGGAAGCTTGTCAGACCCAGATCCCAGGAGCCAGGAGCCATACCAGATAAGGGGAGCCTCTACCTTCCTCTCTCGTCCTCCTCCCAAACTGAAGGGGAGCGCTCCTTCCAGAGGAACAGACACCCCTTGCCCGGAAGCCATGTTATGGGTGGGCATTGCAAGGTCCACTCAGAGGGTGCGCTAGGATTCAGAGGGGGCTGGAAAGGTCTAGAATAACAAGATACACTGCAGCCAATACTTATGGTCAACTGCTGATGCTCTGTTCATCATCTTCCTTCACCGTGGGAACAACCCCACTATCTTAGCAAAGCATGTGGTAACTTAGAATCAAGACCCTCCTAGTTGTCCTCAGGGAGTCCTGGTGTGGCACTGTGGGTTAATAATGCAATGGGCTGCAAAGTCAGTTTGAGCCACAAGGTCGGCAATTCAAGCTTACCAGTGGCTCCTAGGAAACCCTGTACAGGGTTGATATGGGTTGGAACTGACTCAATGGCACTTAACAACAAGTCTTCCTCAGAGCTGCAACATCTCTTAAAAACTGCCCTTGAAAGACAACGGTTCTCAGCCTTTGTCCCTTGGTCCCTTCTTTCTGGCTGGTATGAGGACGTGATGGACGGAACTGCCACAGCCTAGCACAGGAAAGATGACATGTCCAAGTCTGCTCCTCTGGTATTTGGGCCCTGGGAGCACTGTGGCTTAGACATTGGGCGGCTGCTCTGTGCTGAAGGGTGACTATGAGTCAACATCCACCTGAGAGCAGTGGGTGTGGTTTGGGGAACCTGTAGCTAACACTGACTAATCCAGGTGTTGGCTTAGCTTTAGTTTGGGTTGGGCTACACTTGCCAGTCTAGCTCTGAGCCATCCCACAGAGCCACACGCTCTTGAGTTTCCGATGCTCTGGACTCTTCAGCTGTCTTGTCCCTCAGCAATCTCTAGTGGCCAGTACCTGCACTCAGACCCCCTCCCTGTGTCCAGTTGCCCCAAGCCTCTGGTGTGAAGGGACCCCATCCCACCTTCGATCTGCAGCTGGATCCTCCACCAGCTTTCATGCCCAGGGAGGCCCAGACCCCTCCTCCTACAGCTCTTGTCTCATCTGTAGCCCCTAGATGTGGGGGGAAGGCCAGAACTTGGCCTCCTCTTCTAGGGGCAGCCCCTCCCCTGAGATGCGTCAGCTTTTCTTACAGAAACTCAGAGGCTGAGGACAGGTGGAGAAGCAGGGGAGACAGGCGCTTGGTTTGAGGGTTTGAAGTCTGAGATGCTCTTGATGTAGGAGTGCATCACTTAGGGGGGCACAGGTGAGGACTCCAGGGCGGCCTACAGAAGGGGAGCTACCTCGGACCAGGCCTGGGTGAAGAGGAGACTTTCCGACCTGTAGCTCTCAGGGAGAAGGCATGAACCCAGCAGGGCCCCAGGGTCCCCATTCCATCTCCATACCCTTTGAAGCCAACCCCTCCTCACTGTGCAGATGGGCGTTCTGCCCCCAATCCAGGCACTGAGGCCTCAGACCCCTTTTCTGTCGTGTTCTCTGCGGACCCCCATTTGCTGAAGCCATGACAGCTTGAGAGATCCCGTGAAGGGCAGAGCACCTGTCAGGGCTGGGAAGCTGAGTTCCAGGTAGATGGCATATGGGGAAACAAGGCAAGGACAGGGCTTACCCATCAATGACAGGTGTATCCTGCATGATCCTCACTGCCTGCTCCCGGAACGTATCAGCAACACAGACGGCCACAAGGGGCCATAGCCACCAGCCGCTCCACAAAAGGCGTCTCACTTTCATCCCTGCCTGGCTGTGAGTGCACAGAAGGACCGGATCAGGGGTGTAAGGAAACAGGCAGATGCAGAAAGGTGCTCACAGAGGCCCTTTGGCCGAGGCAATTGCTGCGGGTCCCTCCCTTCACAATGGGTTCAATGAGTAACCAGCCAAGAGCTTAGCTTAGTGGGGTGGGGATGTGGGGGTGCTGGAGAGTGCTGGGAGATTCTGTGTGGAGGGCTGGGCGTAGCTGCCAGTACCCGGGGAGTAGTACCCGGGGGAGAGGCCCTAAAACGAAGAAGGACCCAGAGGTGTTGGCTATCAGCCATTTGGAGACTGTTCAGAAACCAACCCAGTTCCAGCAGACAGTGTGATTGGAGTCTAGAGGCCCAGAAGGACAGCTTTGTCCAAGGAAAGACAGAGCAGGCCCCTGGGGGAAATGCAGGGTTAGGGTGCAGAAAGAGCCCCCAACTGCAGCCTTTGTGGTCACTCCGGGCTGAGAGCCAGTCCTCCATTCTTGTTACTCCATGAAAGTCCATGGGCTGGTCTCACCTCCATCAGAGACTGAGGAAGGGCCAGCAGGGTCTGGCTGGACTCGGGCTGAGGAGCCCTAACTTCAGGTATTTTATTTCCATCTAGTGCATCTATGTGTTTGCACAGATAAAGCTTTAAGTGACCTACAGTTGGGGAAAGACACACTGTTCCAGGATACAGCTCACCGGCCTGTTGTTGCTGGGGTCTAGCACCCCAGTTCTGGTACAGTCCCAGGCTCAAAGGGACCCTCCTCCTGGACCATGAGGTTCCTGCCCACGTAGACAAGATGTGGGCTTGTGGGAAGAAGTGGACTCCCTGATGGTGTGTCCTCTGTGGGGTCTTGAGCCATGGCGGGTGGGCTTAGCCTTTCACATGCCTTCCCCCTGTCCTGCTCTTACCAGCACCCCAACAGCACCCCTCAGAAAAGCCATGACTTGGAGGACCTGATTCTTCCCAAGGAGACTTCCCACCCTGAACTCCGTCTGTCGGACATGCACATAGCCACATCCATTCGTCTTCCATTAGCATTTGCCTGCTTGATGTTTTCCCAACTATGTACTTTCAACATTTTTTTCCTTTTGGGGAGTTGTCCTGTGTTTTTGTTTTCTCTCTCTCTCTCTCTCTCTCTCTCTTTAAAAAAAAAAAAAATTGTGGTGAAAGTACACACACCAAAGTGTTCGTCAACGCAAGTTCCACCCTTTGCATAGTTACATTTTCTTCCTAAAATTTCTTCTTTTTTGTTCCTTCCTCAGAATGCCTTCCGTTTTTCCACAGTCTTTGTTGTTGTTAAGTGCCATCGAGTTGGTTCTGACTCATGCGACCTTGTGTAGGGTTTCAGAGGAGCAGTTAGTGGGTTTGAACTGCCAACCTTGTGATTAGCAGTCCAGCGCTTATCCTACAGGGTCACACCAGGATACCGGTGGGAACTCTTTGGGATCGTTCCACTCTGCCCTGATGAATCAGGTTTATTTTCGGTTTTGGTTCTCGTTTCTGGCACTGCCACTGACCAGCTGGCTGTTGGACTTCCTGGACCTTCTTATCGCCCATGTTTCAGGATTTCTTGTGCACTGGAAGTTTTCCTCGATTTTGTTTTCCAGCACTTACACTTTATGTTTCCTTTAAAGAATATATATTTAACTTCTGAGAGCACTTCTGACATTTTTCGTGACTTTTCTTCTCTGTTTTTGGCTGTTCCGGTCATGGAAGTGGCTTGTTCCCGTATTGGTTCGAGGTTTGGTTTTGTTTTCCTGTGTTTACTGTATGATAGTTTCTCTCACAGCTTATCTGAGCCTTTTGTCCCGTTTTGCAGACTGTCCTCACCCAGCTGAGATCCTTCATATTTGGAAATGAAGCCATAGGTGTGCTGGAGTAGATGTAGAGTGAGTGGGGTGGAGCCACGGAGAGCCCACTCTTACAGTGAATTCTTGGGGGCAGCATGTGTCAGTGATATGCCAACAGCCACCCGGATTCTCCATCTCTCTCTTTTGAAGCGGGGTGCTGGGGGCGATCTTGACATCTTCCTCCTGCTGCAGGCATCTGGTGGTGAGTGGCTGGGATCTGAGTCTGTGTGAATGGGTGGGTGGATGCCACACCCCTCCGCACCCTGGGTAGTCCCCTTCCTCCCTCGGTCCTCTCTGGATTCTGCAGTCCTCTCTACGGATATTCCACAGGCTGCCTTTATCAGCAGTCTCTTCATCTTGTTTCTTGACCCCAGAAATGGGCTGTTTCCTGTGCTGTCGTTGCCCTAGCCCTTCTTCCCTGACTCTGCGGGCGGCCGGTGCGCTCTCTTCTCCCTCCCAGTCCAGGTTCACAGGCCCTCAGGGAGAAGAGGATGCAAGTGACCTTGGAGCCTGGGCTCGACTCAGGGCCTTGGGAGAGACCTTCTGGTGTGCCTGTTTTAATTTTCATTTGTTCCTTTTGTTCTAGATGCCGGGTTGGGTTTGGCATCCATCCTTCATGTCACTGTGTCCCTTAAATGACTCAGGACTTAATAAAGTTCTGTTTAAGTAGGCATGTATCCCCAACAAGAACACACATGAGCACATAAACCATCACAGACAAGAATACGTGAACACATACACACAAACATATATGCCTGGACCCACTTTTCCACATGTGATTAACAAGCATACACTCAGATAACTGACATGTACACACACGGAGACACAGTATCAACATGTGGACACACAGATCCGAAGATAAAAGCACATGGACACAAACACACCCCCACCTACTACTGATACTTGGAGTCCAGCACAAGGGACCGTGTGGAAGGAGTGAACCCCAGGCGATCCTCAGTCCCCTCTCAGTCACTGTCCCCTCTCTGGGAGGACCTGGAGCAGTCCTGGTCTCTCTCTCTGGCTCCAATCCCTGGTGCCCAACTGGACTTCTTCACCAAGGCCACCCCCCAGTCCCAGGCTCCTTCTCTGGTGACAATCCCACTCACCCGGACCCTGGGTCACAGAGCAGAGAGACCCAGCTACCCACCCCCAGGCTAGGGCATTGCCTCTTTTTCCATGTCCTGCCCAGACCCCTCTCCTCTCCTCTCTGACTCTAGGTCCACTCTGCCCCATACACGTCCAGTGAAGTCCTGCTCCCTCCACTTTGAATGGGGCAGGGGGGTCTCCAGCCTCGTCTCACAGCCTTCCCACCCCCCATACTCCAGATGGCAACCTGAGTGACCCTCTTACCTTCACACTATCATGAGCACACACTGAGGCCTCGCCCAGAGCCTCACCATGCTCTCCAAGCTCCCATGGCTCTTTACCCCTAAGATGGGCTGGTTATGTGACCATAATGGGAGGCTCTCCTGTCTCTCCCATCACGTTGGGCTTACAGCAAGGTCCAGTTCCCAACAAGCCTGCTCTGGGGTGGACGGCCAGGCAGTGGGGGGAGGCAGGAGGTACTGCTACAACTCATCAGAGCCCTGGCCTTCACCCCAGAGCACACCACACCCTGCACCCCACTTCCCGGAGACTCACAATGAGCAGGAAAGAGAAACAATCTGATGGGGTCTGGCTTCAGGTTCTTGTCTTCTGTGACTCTGCCCCCAGCCTCCTAGGCAAACTGTGACGACGCTGGAGATTTTGTTTCCTCAAGTTCGATCCCTCCCCTGATGTCCCCAGCCAGCTTCCTTTCTGTACAAAGAAGTCATGACTTTAAAAAAAAAAAAAGAGAGAGAGAGAGAAATTCCCAGGGGCCATCTCTAGGCACGCTGAAGAAGAGGGGCTAATGCTGTACACATGTCCCCATAAACATACAGTGTCACAGGGCTTGTTTCATGCTGTTCACCCCAGGGCTTCAGGGGCTCCCTTTGGCCCCAGGCAGGTAAGGAGGGGGCTGTAGGGTACATGGTTGGGGTCCCCAGGCCAGACGTGCGTGTAAGTTCATCTCAAGCAGTACCCCTGGCCTGGGCTGGAGACACCAAGCATGGTGGGAGAGGTGGGGTGCTGGGCCTCAGGGGTTTCTCCAAGTAAGGTGTCTGTAAGCTGGACACCAGCTTTTTATGAAGGATGGGGTTCCATCCTTGGAAGTTCTCTTTTCTTGTCCCTGGGACACCTGGACTTCAAGCTCCCCTGGAGTTTCACCTGCTATAGGGGTGAGTTGGGGGACTCTGTGGTTGCTCAGTCTCCTGAGCCTCAGTTCCTTTGTCTCCCTCCCCATTTCCTGCCTAGCATAAGGACCAAAAGAAAATAGGAATTGGAATGTTCCCTGGCAGGCTATGGGGTCTTTCACAATCAGCAGGGAGGGTCTGTCTGGAAGCCTGGCTGAGGGGCAGACGTGGAGCTCCTCCAAGTGGCCCTGAAATAGTTGAGGTTTGGCGGGGTGTGGGCTAGCTAAGGTTTGGCGGGGTGTGGGCTAGCTAAGGTTTGGCGGGGTGTGGGCTAGCTAAGGTTTGGTGGGGTGTGGGCTCAGCTCCTCCCAGCCAAACCCCAGGTTGCCAGGACCAGGGTAGGAGGCTGGGCAGGAACAGGGCACAGTCCCAGAGAGTCAGATACAGGAGGGGGGGAAGGGCATGCCCCACCCTGGGTCTTGGTCCCTGTCCATGCTCATCTGGTTCCTGTCAGCCCCTCCCCCACTCCGTCCAATGTCACCATCCCCATCCTCTCCCACCCCACCCTGAGTTACTGTCACCCATTGTAATGGGGAGCATTCCAGTGCTGGGGACATGGAGGGGCATGGGCCAGAAACAGATACTCAAGGTTCAAGGTAGGTCTCCGGGCGCTGAGGGAGGCTCCGCCCTCCTCTGACCTGCAGGTTCTATCTGGTCACAGTCTAGGGAGAGGAGGGGAGGGACAGACCCACAGGGATAGGCAAGGAAGGCACCAGGGATCTGTCCTGGGAGGCCTCAGGGCACACGCCCGCATCCCAATCAGAACTTGGGAGCGGCTCTGGAGCAGAGGGTTCTGAGAGCAGAACCTCAGTGCCGGGCACTCTTGGAGCGTCACTCATAGGAGGGGCTCCAGGCGAGACTAGTGATGTGGGGGTGGGGC